AACTGTGTGGTACTTCTGTTGAAGTCTGTCTCACTGTGACTTCTTATGTTTAATGTGAAACGCTCACTGTTGAAAACAAATCATGTGAAAACACAAACTGTGAATGTTTTCACATCTAAACCAGAGTCTGTCCCTCTGCTGCTGCTTTCAGACTCATTTAGGTTTACTTTATTCACAAATACAGTAACCAAACTCCAATATGGAGTACCTTTACCCAGTCGGTGTGTTTTCTGCAGTGGAAGCAGTCACAGTGATGTCAGAGTGTAAAACGAAGGAGAAGTTCTCTTGAAGGACTCGAGCTGACAGGTGCTCAGAGCAGAACTCATTTAAGGACAAATTTCTGCCATCAAAACCAATTTAACTCAACATCTCAAGCAAACACCAAGATGAAGATTTTTACACCTCATCACTGTTGAATCTGAAGCTGCATAGATTTAGTGCATTTAACACTTGTGCTTCTGTTGGGGAGTTTTGGGTCAAAGGTTATGGATGTTTTTATTACTATGGATGAGAATCTTAACTCTGCCCATGAACCATATGTTGGGTTAGCAGAGCTGGATGAGGAGCTGGGTGCAGCCGGCTCCAAGGACACCTGCAGGTTCTGTGAACTGATCTGATCAGGGTATAAAAACAAGCTGAGGGGGCGGCTCGGGGCACGTTCTTCATGCGTGTGATGAATATTTGTGTAATCTGTCCTGAAAATCTGACCTTACAAGTAAATACTGGTTTAAAATCTTCTCCTGCCGTCGGGTGTGGCTCCTTTTGAGCAAGTACGATAAGCGAGAATATTTTTCTCCGACAGTTTCTCTCACACCATTTTGCAGCTTCCAACACAGACCATGTTCAGTGTGAAATCATGTCGGACGCAAACGTTATAAAACAGGAAAACGTATAACACTTGAACAGCAGTGGACAACTCTGATCCCTCAAACTGAGACTGCTTTGACTTATGTCTACAGCAGGTAAGATACTTGTTGCTCACAAATACTCCACACAACCCCAACTCAACAAAAATATAGATACTTTTAAGTTCAAAGAGTTTATGATTTGCCAAGTCGACACTGTAAATAAGAAACTGTCCTGCTTGGTAAAAATAAAGGCTAGATTAAAAAATATATATTTATCAAGTTATTCAAACTCAAAGTTCCGTTTATCTTGAACCCAAACTTTAGAAGATGGATCAGTGTCGGGTCGTGGAGTTACTGCTCACCCTGGAGTGATGGCGGCCATGGCAGGATGCTTGTTGCTGAACCACACCCGGTAGTTGTGAGTGATTTTCCACGCTGCGATGAAAGGAGCTCCATAATCGGCCAGCAGCCTCTCGTTATCTGGAAACGGACGACAAAGAGCAGCTGGTGGTGAGGGATTGTTGTGTGAATGTATCAGTCGTTAAAACTCCAAAACACTCAAGATTAGACGTTTATGTCCGTCATGATTTTAAACATTTGATATTTTTTGACAGCGTCAACACTTTAAACCTTCAGCAGGAAGAAAGCCAATGTGTCTAAAGTTCTCAAATGAATAAGCACTTCATAAATTACGGGTCCACTTGATTCATATTTCATTACCTCTAAATGCTTTAGTGTTTGGCTGGTCTGCTCCACAGACCTCCTACCTTGCTGTACGGCAGAAGAGAGTAAGGAATGCAGGTAGAGGGTGAACTGAGCTCTAATCCACTCATCGCCTCCCTCCCAGCCCGTCCCGTCCAGGAACACGTCGTCTCGGTTTTCAGTCACGTGTTTCACCAGGTAGTCAGCGAAACGCAGGTCAGCCGTCGTCAGGCTCAGGATCTTTCGGAGTTCAGGGTCCTGGATTTGAACCCGAGCTTCTTCCACCTGCAGCAGCAAAGATATATACGTAATATATAAATATAAGAGTAAACTAACTTCCTCCTCTTTCCATTAGAAGTAAAGACAGGACTTGCTTCAACAATAGCATCACTCAGGTGCCTCTGCTGACGGAAAAGGATGTTGGTCGCCCCGGCAACGAAGCCTCGCACCGTCACGTCTGATAAGAGGTGATGCTGCTGCAAAGCCATGTAAGGCAGGCACAGGTAACCCTGGAAACACCAACAAACATCTGCATGTAGAAAATTAAACCGGTGCTTTTCTTTAGTCTCGCTCAGATCGGAGTGTTAGGATGAGACGCGCGAAGCACGGAGTAAAAATGTTTTCTGAAACGTCTAAAGAGCCGAGATCCTTTGATCCTTTTTGTCTGTAAAAGTGTAGGAAGAGACGAAGGATTCTGCAGCTGAAGAAAAACAAGTTTGTAGATAGAGATAGATCAGTTAGATTGAAACTACACTCAAGCATCAAGATTAATTTTATTGACAAATAAATACTTTGTTTTCCTGGTACTCATGAATTTTATGAATCATAAAGTAGATAAAAGAGTTTATTTTGAGACGTAGTTGCCTACACTGCATATTAAAGGTTGTTTTTAGGTGAGGTGGTGGAAAAGTTTCATCTGTTGCTACAGCAACCGTCAGCTGAAGCTGCTCCATCACAAGCTGCTCCATCACAAGCTGCTCCATCACAAGCTGCTCCATCACAAGCTGCTCCATCACAAGCTCAGATTTAAAGGTCAGCTCCTGTTCGGCTCCGTGGCTCTGACACATTTTTACAACAAGACAAACCTTTTACTTTTATTAAAGCAAGTCCTTACAGCTGCAGAACACATCACTGATCAATATAAAATTAATAAAATAACAAAAAACTGACAACATAATCTGAATTAGTGCACAGCTGAACGCGCAGTGTAAACGGAGCCATTACAGCAGAAATAAACAAGAATTACTATTAAATATAAATAAAAGTCAAAGAAAAAAATCACTAAAGCACTTTCACTAAACTCAGATGTATTTTAAAAACTGAAGCTGTGACATTTATACTGAGACTCCAAAAGTCACTCTATGATCAAAGAACACATCAAACAGCTGCTGGGGCTTCAAAGTTAAAGTGATCAAGAACTTTTGAAAGTTGCAGAAACATAAATCAAATATTTATTGTAATTATTTCTGGGATTGCTCGTATTCTTTGTATTGTTTCCCTTTTAGGATGCGGTTTTAAATCTTAAGCACAAAAACCTCAGGTATCCATTATCTTTACCTGCTTCCTCCTTTCTGGGTCGCTGTGTTTGTGTCCAGATAAAACATAAATTATTGTGCAACTGTTTATGAAACAGTCTCTCTCTCGTGATCCATTTTGTCTTCTGTACGTTTTTCAGCATCTTTCTCATTTCACAACTTTTGTGCCATTTCAACAAATCACAAGTCAAAACGTTCAACTCTTTCAAGACAATCCTGCTATGACATTTGTTATTGGTGCATTTCAGCTTTTTGAAACTGTTTTCAGCTACTTTCAAATAATTTCAGCTGTTTTTTTCAGTTGTTTTGTGCTCCTTTCAAATTCTTTCTGCGAACTAAAAAAACTGTGCTTCTTTAACTTGTTTCTGCTCATTTCAACTTGTTACGCTCCTTTCAGCTGATTTCTGCACGTTTCAGCTTTTTCTACTATTTCAGCTACTATCTAGCTGGTTTTAAGCCAATTTAAACTTTTCAGTTAATTCCACATTTTTTGCACTCGTTTGAACTTTTTTCAGCCTAATTCAGCAAAAATGTGCTCTCTTCAATTCCTTCTGGTAATTTAAGCTTCTTTCTACGTTTTAACTACTTTTCAGCTGTTTTGCTAATTTCAGCATTTTTCAGAGCATTTCCATTTTTTGTGCTCATTCGTGCTTCTTTCAGCCTAACCTAGCCAACGTGTTCTTTCTGCTTTCTTCAGATAATTTAAGCTTGTTCTAGCTTTTCAGCTACCTTTTGTTTATTTATTTATTTTTAGAAAATTTTAGCTAATTTCAGCTGTTTTCAGATAAATACAAGATTTTTGTGGTAATTTCTGCAACTTTCAGCCCAGTTAACTTCTTTCTGCTAATTTCAGCTAATTATGCTCCGTTCAGCTTTTTTCTGCTAGTTTTAGCTTTTTCTGCTATTTCAGCTACTATTAGGCTGTTTTTAAGCTAGATTTAGCTTTTTTAGCTAATTCTCCATTTTTTTGTGCTCATTTCAGCTCCTTCCACTTCTTTTTGGTAGGTTAAGCGTATTTCTGCCTTTTCGTCTACTTTTTGCCAAATTCAGTTTTTTTCAGCCAATTTCCTGAATTTTGTGCTCCTTTCTGCTCATTTAAATCTACGATAGTTCAGCAGATATGTGTTCTTTCTGCTTTCTTCTGCTAAGCTAGGCTTGTTCTTCCATTTCAGCATGTTTTTAGCTAATTTCAGCTGTTTTCCAGCAAGTTCTTCAGCAATAAGCACTCGCAGTACTGCAGGACCTGCGATTTCTCTTGTTAGTGGTAGTTGTGGTTACCTTAGTGAAGATGGCAAGCGGCAGGCCGTACTGATCCTCCTCCAGCCCCGACACCAGCCCCTGGACGACCCCTCCCTGACCGCTGGCCGCCTGCGGCTGCACAGTGATCGGTGTTTCTGGGTTAGAGTCAAAAGTGTCCAGTAGTTCTGACTCTGTATCGGCTGGTCCTTTGGTGCCTCCTTCCTCCAACACGCTGGGGTCCAGAGTCTCCCAGTCGCTGTCGGAGGACTCAGGAGAGGGACGTGAGGGAGGTTTGAGGTGATTGTTGTCACCCTCCGTGCTGTTCCCCGAGGACACAGACTCTGGTGTAGGTTGGGTCGTCTCCACTGCCTCCAGCTCCAAGTTAGTGTTGGTGAGGTCAGTGACAGACACCGAGACGAACTCCTCGGCTCCAGACACGCTCTCCATTAGACTCACGTCCTCCGATGTACTGCTCTTAGGCCGGTAGTGGGACGAATCCACCAGGCCGTGTTCGATCATCCCTGCAAAGACATCCCCATGGGGAGATTTCTTTCTGCTTGCTTTATTTGAAGTTTTATACACTTTTATACAAGTTTTCAATGTTCAAGTCAAACAGTTCTCACCCTCCTGCTGACATAAGTTTAATTCAGTCTACTGAGGTTAAACAATATAAAAAATAATTACCAATAAAAATAAATTCTAGGATTTTAATAGAAAAAAATTCTACAATCTTGTCACTTTGCCTTTTGCTGCACTTTGTATATAAACTTCAAAAGAAAATACACAAAAAAATCTACCGTACTTTCCGCCGTATAAGTCGCACCAGTCCAAAAATGTCTAATAAAGTGTAAAAATACACAAATAAGACGCTTTGCTGACCACCTGTAAATGTGGGCCGGTGTTGTGCCAAAAATCGATTGGCTGCCAAATGGCATGGCAATGGTCCTCCCACGGTCATGGGAGGACTTTAACAAGAATTTAACAAGATTAACACTTAAAAACAAAGATTTGTTTGCTTGAAGTTATAGAAAAGTCTCAGTTGAACTTTTCCTTAATAAATTCACTTTAATGGTCAAATCAGGTGCATTTCGCCGGGGCAGCACGGTGAAATGCACCCGATTTCATGTTTGCTCCAAGAGTTTCAGAGTGAGACGAAGGTGGCCTGTATGGCAAGCCAAGTGTCTCACTAATAGCCACTTTTACTATTAATGAGACACTTGGCTTGCCATAAGGCTCGAGGGCCCTCTAGTGGCTGAAAATGGTAGTGTTCAATATTTTCTGTATCATAATAAATTAAATTGTCAGATCGCAGCCAAAAATTGGTTATAAATATGAGGAAAAAACATATATTAGTCACTTTGGTGTATAAGTCGCAGGACTTGCAAATTTAAGTAAAAGGTGCGACTTGTGCAGTGAAAAATACAGTACTTCGTTTTTTAGTTTCTCTAATATTCTCACACTCATCCAGCCTGAATGTGTCGGTTACTGACCTGGAAACAGTGACAGAACCGTAACCAAAGCCCCCACGAGTCTGTTGACAGGCGACACGTAGAATAAAACCTGCAAATAAATAATCACATGAATATTACAGCTTCCAGAGAGACTAAACGCCACGCGTTAGATTGAAGTCTGACCTTCTTCTCCAGCAGAATGAGCTTGAAGAGGAGGAGAACCTACACAAATAAAAAATAAAAAACTTTCAGTACTACAATTTGCAGAGAAGCTAGAAATGTTTTGTATCATACTGCTCAGAAAAAAACTTTGTATATTTTTCACCTTGTGTCGAAAGTGCAGGATTAAATCTCTTGGTGATAAGCCTGAATAGAAAAAGTCATGAAATGAAAAATATTCCCTCAGAAAATATTCATGAACATTTTGCAGAAGTCACAAACTCACAGGTTTAGAGAAGAAAGATACATTGAAAATAAAGGTCCGCTTTATAAATTAAAACAATAAAACAAGTGACACATCTGTTACTCGGACAGGCGTGTAGAACGATAGCTGAATCCTAAAATCCAAGTCTTTTTACACGTATCCATCGATTTATCTACCTAGATAAACTTGTGAGCCGTCCAGAGTCGACCCCCCGAGAGAGCTGTTCATGTGGTCGTAAAGCTCCTGTGGAAGAAACGGGAGGTGACTGGAACTGACAACAGGAAGTTGAACACTCGGGTGCTTTCAGTCTCATGTTTCCTCACCTTCAGGATGGAGATCTGTGAGAAGTCCTTCTCCTCGAAGTAGGCGTGTGTGATGAGCTGCAGCTTTGCTTGAAGTAAACCATAAAGAGGCTGGGAATAAAACCAACACGTTGAGTCAGTTATGACATGACCCACAGGATCCTGCGGGATCATTCCTCCTGACCAGGTCAGAGAATCACTAGATTTCTGGATCAGTGGTTACATTTGCTGAATACAAGCAGCTGTCTAGTTATCTTTAACAGTAAAGAAGATGCTGTGAAATTAAAACATTCTTTTCTTTAGCAGGTTTCTGATGCTTTACTTCTGGAAATTAAACAATAACTAAACTAAGTTATGGTTAATTGTATGCACATGATTATAGCCCAGGTATGTTTCTGTTTAGCTTTTACCCTTTTTTATTTACTTTTATGATGAACAGTTTGAAGTGTTTGTAATTTATCATAAATATTAGCACATTTATATTCTACACAAAATTATAGCAATATAAACAAAAGGTTTTGGCTTGTTTTATGTGCTACGCTTGCTTTTATTTGGAACCATACTGTGATTAATATAAATCAATAATAAAGTATGTACGAAAAATTGAATTTTGTTTTATAGATTAAATTTCTTCCTTCAGCTTTTCTCTCTTCAAGGGTCTCCACAGCGAGTCATTCTCCTCCATCTCACGGGGGGGGGGGGGGGGGGGGGGGG